ATTCATTTATATTCTTGAGGTAAATTTCTAAAACTGGATTTACCAAAGAAAACAGCAGAGATAGCACAATACATGTTCCTTAAACCAAGGAATGGGGCCTGCAAACTTAGAACTGTAATACATATTTCCAAATTGTCTTCCAAATCCCTGTCAGAATTATGTTCCCACCAGCAGTGGATGAAAGTATACATTTCTCCATATCCTTGAAACACTGAATATTGTTATCCTTTTCTTTAACCTTTCCCCAAAATTATGTTCATCATGTTTATAATTAGAAAGAAATGAGATATATTACAGATTTTGCTATTCTAAAAACTAGAGAGTTATTCATTGGAAGGCAAATTAAAAATACTAACCAAATTATACTTAGAAAAATTGCTTTTGGTAAACAGCAGTTCATTAGCTGAATGATTCTTCACATTCAAGTAAAATAGTGGCTACTCTTCTGCTTGACTCTTTTCAATGTACCTGAAGGAAAGATAATTTAAGTGAAAATAAAAATATGTAGAAAAATATATATGATAAGTATGCACTTGATGACAAGCTAACTTAGAGATAAATCTACTAGCACATAACATACTCGGGTTAAATACAAGTCAGGATCTGGAGAATAAACCTAAGGCACAGATTCAAAAGACCAGATGAAACAGACAACTTACTGTCTCTTAGTCCGTTTTCTGTTATTATAATGAAATACCTGAGGCTGGATACTTTATACAGAAAAGTTTAATTTATTTTAGAAAAGTTCTGGGGTGTTGGCATCTGCTCCAGTATGACAAGGAGCTCTTGGTAGACAGTGTCATAATGGCAGAGTATATGTGAGCAGTGAGTGGCACATGTGGAAGAAGGATTCAGGGGAATTACCAGGCTCACTTGTAACAACCCATTCTTATAAGAACTAATCTAGTTTCACTGAGACCTGACCTATTCCATGGATGAGACAGCATCAACCTTCATGAGGATGGAGCCTTCAAGTTCCTCTCTTCTCATTATTCATTAATATATAATAGGTTATTATAAACTATAGAACTTATTAATGTAATTCTATCTGTTTGTGTACCTATTATCTAACCTCCCACTATCTCTTCTCCTCCACCTTTCCCAGGCTTTTTACATTTTTATCATTAATATATGAGACAAAACATGTGGATTTTGTCTTTATGCATTGGGTTTACTTCACTTAACATAATGTA